GGCAGGAGGCCTTCAGAATACGGCCGTGTTCTGTGGCCGTGTAGTTAACCCTAGCCAAAGCACGGGCGGGCTGAGGCAAAGCACGGTCGTGCCCTCGACCGTGCTTTGGCCACTGATGCCCTTTTAGGCAGATTTTCAGCCAAAAGAGGGGGGATTCGAGTTTTAGAGAGATAGAGCGATTCCTAGAGAGAGAAAGCGACGAACAAGAGCCTCCAAGTGCCCTAGCTTGATCTTCAACACCATTGGAGCTTGGCTTGAGCTTGGAGAAGTGCCGATTCAACGTCCAGGAGCAGAAATCCATCTTCACAGTATGATTTCCGCGTCTGATTCTGCTTTTGCTTCTTTCTCCATGGAGTAGTTCTCTCATTCATCTGGGTGTGGGAAACCCTAGATCTGTATGTTAGGATTGATTGTATGAACCCAAGTACTGTTTCTATGATTTGATTATATTCGATTGAGGTTTGAATGATTGAATGGCATGAATCCTGATCAAATTCCTGTTGTTTCTGCTTTAACCTAGAATGATAATATCTGCCTAGGTTGATAGAGTATCCTTAATCGAAGGTAGTGAATTGGTGACTTTATTCGAGGAGCCAATTCACTATTCTGTACCGAATTCCATTCGGTAGTGGAGGTTTGGTTCGTTAGGGCCTCAATCTGTTTACTCCGGTGGAGGTTAGTCGCCCGCTAGAGACTCAGATTGAGAGGGTCTGAAGACCTTTAGTCAAGACTTCAGGCTGTTTGAGAACCTTCCGCAGTATAACTATCATAGAAATTGAACTTGGTAATTACAATCCGGCTTAACTACAGTCTAGGGGGAACCATATCCGGGTGACCTCTCTTAACCTGAAAACAACCGTTTAGTTGCTTTGCTTGCTTGTTAGTTTACATCTTCACTAAAGTTTCATTGCTAGATAACAAGAATTCACTGAGTAGTCATCACATCTAGGACCCGGGTTGACATTAAAACCCAAACCCGCTATACTACGCTTTAGGAAGTGGTTACACTTGGCCATTTTCTAGAGTGACAGTAGGAGTGAGTCAGGTTTGGATGGTTACAACTCGAAATTATTTAAACCGAGCCGTGATACTATATTATATATTTAATATATATTCGTCCATCATAAATTTTTTACTTTAATTATTATTCTTGTCATTTTTGACATAGTTAGTGTTGATAAATTAAAACTCAATTATTTATCTAGTATTTTTTTAACATATACACTTAATTATCTTCACATCCTTTCTTTATATTTTAATTTTTGATCACCATCATTCAACTCGAGACTCATGCGTTGGGTGGCTATGATGATGAAAACCAACCCACATACACCCCTAATAGGGAGCAATGCAGTCAAAATTGGGATTTTGATCGTAAAATCGTAGGATTTTACTTAGGGCTTCCGATCCTAATTTTACTATAAAATCGACCTTAAAATCGTTCAAAATCGGGATTAAAATCGTAAAAATCGTACCAAAATCGTGATTTTGATCCTATGTGAATAAAATATGTGGTTTGAGCCAGTTCAAAAGAAGCAAAATTGTTTCGGCGGAAAGGCCACTGACTGGGATCTTCTCATATATTTTTCCTATTAAAAGAACATTTGAAAAAAAAAACAAATTACGGTTCGGTCAACCCCTTTCCCTTCCCCAAGTTTAACTCGTCGATAAAACCGTTGTCATAATATTATAAATACGTAAGAATTAACATTATTATTAACAAACTAACTGATTAATGAATATATATCCAATGACATTAATTATTTTATTGGAGTTCACTTATTCTTAGTTTTAAATCATGCTTAGTAGATGATGTCGGAATACTATTTTGAGTTAAACTACCTAAAGACAACATGAAAACAAGAGCCAAACCCATTGAGCTCTATCCCTTTCTCATAAATTATTTTGAGTTACGCATTAAATAAAAATTAAAATAATGATTTTGGAACATTAATCTTGAAAACTATCATTTTAAATGTTATATGTTTTTGCATTATAAATTATTTACCTTATTAATATTATTATATGTTAATTTCTAAATGGTACTTAAAATCCTACGATTCTACGATTCGATTCTACGATTCCGATTTTACCCTAATTTTCGATTTTAGGTAAAATCTCGATTTTAACTGCTTTGATAGGGAGGACTCGAGGCGGGGGAGATTGTGCATTGACATAACATGTGATCGCAGGCAGGGGCGGATACATGGACCTCTAGGGGTGTCCCGGGACACCTCTAAAATTTGGGAAAACGATTATCCAACCTTCGGTAATAATTTCGTATGGGTATACAAAATATAATTGGTGATTCGGGACACCCTAACATTTGAAAAAATGATTATCCTACCCTCGATAATAGTTTGCTTATGATTAACAAAATATAAGTGGTAGTCCGTGTTATTCCAACATAGGACACTACTATTATCAAACATATTCTAATTATGTTGCTACTCATTTTTTATTCTATTTTAAACATCATGCAACAGTAAAACGCTATTTCCTTATCCCCAACTATTTTCAATACCTAATAATTAAACTACGTACACGCTACCCTTAATTTTGAATTGATTTTATGGGTACACGGCAAGTGTTGAGAGAGTCTTTTCTACTTTGAGCTACATTAAGAACAAGTTTAGAAATCGAATATGTGATAAGTTCGTGAAGTATTGTCTAGTAGGATATGTAGATTTTTTTTGAACAGTGCAGACACGGAGTTTATTTTATATTATTTTTTCAAAATATGAAAACACATCATGAATTTTAATAAAAAAATTTATACACGTATGATATTTTTAATATATGAATTATTTAATTTATTATTTAATTAAATTTAATTTTTGAAGAGGACACCCCTGTGAAAATTTTCTGAATCCGCCACTGATTGCAGGACGTCGAGCGGCAATTTTTTTTACCATTACCATCACTCTTAATAAAAGCAAAGTAAAAAAATCTCATAATACGTTATCAAAAAAAAATCTCATAATACAAAAAAGGGAAATAACTAACTACTTCTTAATGGCGAAATGAAGTCAAAGCCCAATTATAATCGAGACAATAAGAGCAAAAGGTGATAGACCACCAAATAAGCCACTCTACAGCTCCATTAATCTTAATATCTGATAATGAAGTCCAGCCTTCTTGTGCTGCATACAGTTCAATGTTGATTGATTCAAGGACCATGAAGAACTAGGAAGATCAGTCCAATTGTCCAAAGGATTCAGGATTTGGGCTTGACTATAATAACCCAAGGAGGAATCATGGAGAAGGAGTGGCTAAAGGTGTTTACCCTTAGGCCCGTCCATTTAGCTTGTTCGGCGGCAATACGTATGTTAATATGACAAAAAAAGCCCACCCAAAGCCCAATTAACTAAGGCTCTATTGAGTATTGACTATTCACTTTAATTTCCTTTTCCTATTTCATTTTTCCATAATTCCATTCCACTAACATTTTTTTTGGTGAAAATTCCATTCCACTAACATGGCAACGAAAAAATCTGTTTATTTTCATGTTTTTTTCTGTTTATTTTCAACTCTCAAAACGAAAAATAAAATAGCAGCTTCTTGTAATTTATGAAAACAACAAACCAATACATATATTTTTTTTTATCTGTTGGAAATGAAGTGTGAATAGCAAGGTTGTCAACTCGCGGGCTGATTTGGATCCGATTGAGCTAGTGGGTCAAGGGTTAATAGGTCACTCGTTTTAGCCCGGTTTATCTCGAAAATATGAAAAGAGTCATTATATTGTACTTATCTTGATAAATTATATCAAATCTCATCTAACATATGAGTTATAACATATAATATTACACCAAAATATAATGTCGTACTTAGATCCAACACATAGTGAAAATTAACACACTCATATAACATCAATATTCAAATGTTCAACTTAGGATTCCAAAGATTGAGTTAGGCGAAAAGAAAATCGGAAAATAGGCGCATTTCGCAAACAAAAAAAATGACACAATTTGACCTCCAACCCAGTACCTTGTAACAGTCGACCCCGCGGGCGGGTGTGGCCCATTTTTTTGACAGGACCAGGGTCAAAATGAGTCGACCCGCGGGTTGACAACCTTGATGAATAGCTTTAAAAGGTATATGTATTAAGGAAGGAATACCGCATTGGTGGGAGAACTCTAAACAAAGGGGGTATAAAATTGTGTTCTCTCACTTAGGTGTTGTTTGCTTGTTGGATTTGAGAGATGTATTTGTCACCCAAATACAAAACATTATGTATTTGGTAAAAAATATTGTTTGTTGAGGTATACAAATCCGTGGAGCCTACGAATTTGGACATTTTTATAGCTCCAAATCCGTGGATCCCATGTATTTGGAAATACCACATTTCATTTGGTATTTGGTCATGGAAGGCAATGATTTGAGACCCATGGTACAAAGATATTTAAATCCATGATCAAAATCAACTAAACAAATAGTGTTATCTTTCAAATACAAAATAAAACAAATTCATCATAAATCAAAAGGTTTTCAAAACAATAGAAAGTGACAACTTTCTGCTGTTTTCGGAAATGACAAAATATTATTTTCACCAGTTTTCAACATCTGTTTTCTCGAAAACAGGAAACAGAAATGAAAGTAAACAAACCAAACATAGATGATATTCGAAAGATATTATACATAATTATATTAAATACTCTGTTTAGTCCTCAAAATCCTTATTCAACACGGAAATGTCATATTCCAGATCATTACTCAGAATGACAGAATCCAACACGTGCAAAATACAAAATATGTCAAGTTCCTGGTTTCTTCAACGCCACTGCTGTATGTAATGTCTCCGCTCAACGTCCTTCACCTCCCAACACTCTTTTTTTTTTTTTAAATGTATTTGAAGCTCTCTTTTTATTATGTCTTTTTGGGAAGAAAACAAGAATGCGATTTGGAATTTATGCTCTTGGGTGGTCAGAGCCTGTGTCGTTTACCAGCGTTTCCACATGCCAATTAGCAGCAAAATAAATTAGAAACGAGTTTCATAACCTCAGATCTCAGTAACCACTCTCGTAATTGACCCATTGACTACGAGACTTGTTAGCAATGGAAGTTGGTCTCTGTTTAAAAAAAAGGACGACCAGCCGCGCTAGTACGACCACCATGACCATACACTCTCTGAATTCTGAAACGTCAAATCCCCACCACTAAGAAACCGTCCATTCACCACAACGAAAACGATCACGCCTCAATAAAGACCTTCCAATAGTTGATTCCGCCACAGCCAAATATCACTTGCAGAAAGTAACCCACCAGCTAAGCCCAGAAAAAAAAACCAGTCCTTCAATGGCGCCGCCGTCTAACCCCGCCGTCGACCCACGAACCGGGTTCTGCCCATCCAACTCCGTCTTCTACAGCAAGCGCGAACCCATCGCTCTCCCACCCAACCCGTCCCTCGACGTCACCACCTTCATCTCCTCCCAAGCCCACCGCGGTACCACGGCGTTCGTCGACTCCGCCACCGGCCGCCGCCTCTCCTTCCCGGAGCTATGGGCCGCCGTCGACTCCGTCGCCACGTGTCTCTCCGTCGACATGGGGATCCGGAAGGGCCACGTCGTCCTCCTCCTCTCCCCGAATTCCGTCTCCTTCCCGATCGTCTGCCTCGCCGTCATGTCCCTCGGCGCCGTAATCACCACCGCCAACCCGCTCAACACCCCGCGCGAAATCGCCAAACAGATGAAGGATTCCCGAGCCTCCCTCGCCTTCGCCACGCCGCAATTGGTCCCCAAAATCGCGGAGTCGAACCCTAATCTCCCAATCGTACTCATCGACGAAGTCGTTCAAGATCCAATTCGTCTCACTAATTTCAAAATCGTCTCGAAATTGAGCGAGATGGTGGCGGTTCAGAAAGGGGATCTGAATCGGCAGCGAGTCAGGGAGCGAGTCGACCAAAACGACACGGCGACTCTGCTCTACTCTTCTGGAACTACAGGGGAGAGCAAAGGAGTCGCGTCGTCCCACCGCAACCTAATCGCGATGGTCCAGACCGTAATCGGCCGGTTCAGTTCGATCGAACCGGACGAAGACGGCAGTCGGGACCAGATCTTCGTCTGTACGGTCCCGATGTTCCACATCTACGGCCTGGCGGCGTTCGCCACGGGGCTGCTGGCCTCCGGATCGACGATCGTCGTCTTGTCGAAGTTCGAGATGGACGAGATGCTGTCGGCGATCGGGCGGTACCGGGCTACGTACCTGCCTCTGGTGCCGCCGATCTTGGTGGCGATGATCGGCGGCGGGGATCGGATACGGGCGAGGTACGATCTGAGCTCGCTGAGGACGGTTCTGTGCGGCGGGGCGCCGCTGAGTAAGGAAGTGATCGAGGGGTTTCTGGAGAAGTATCCGACGGTGAAGATTCTGCAAGGGTACGGACTGACGGAATCGACGGGGATCGGGGCGTCGACGGATACGGCGGAGGAGAGCCGGCGGTACGGGACGGCGGGGATGCTGAACCCGAGCATGGAGGCGAAGATTGTGGATCCGGAGAGCGGGGAGGCCTTGCCGGTGAACCGGACCGGCGAGCTATGGCTGCGTGGGCCCTCGATTATGAAAGGTGAGAGGGTTATTTTGGGTATTTTGAGCTTTTTTATTTAGATTTAATTAATAAATTAATCTCTGGTTACGGCTTTTAAGATGAGCAGGTAATCAGAATATTTGTTCGGTTTAATTGTTTGGTTAGTTTATGATTTGTCATTAGCCAAATGGTTAGGTGACAGCACGGGTTGAAAACTTGAAATGGCGGGCGAAAATAGAGCGCGAGCCCGGTTTTCCTGAGTGTGTAGTTGACTTTTCTAGTTTGACCATAATGAGTTGACTTCTTTGTGGTAACCAAATTGCAAACAGAATTCAAATTTGGGCTACTATTAAAATGTAGAGAAGGGAATGCCAATAGATTAAAGGTTTAAATTTATAAGGTTTTATAGCTTAATGACATCTGAAGCAGGAATATAATATTGGGATTTCGCTCTAAAATATGAAATACTGGGTTTAAGACTGGTCAACTAAATTTTTGTGCTTAACTCCATACTTAGCAGTAGTTGTAAAAATATGTTTGTGCTTTTCCAGTCGTTCCGTCTAATTCACTGATAAAGGAATTTCGAATCAATTAAATCGTCGAGTAACAAAAACGTTTAGATGATAAATAATAAATTGCGGCCATCTTCGTAGTATATAACTATATATGAATTTTCATATAACTTCGTTTCGATAGCATGGATATTCAAAGACTCAAAGCCATCTTCATTTATGGTGTTTTTTTTTTTTTACTTTGACAGGTTACTTTAGCAATGTGGAGGCGACTTCCTCTACCCTTGACTCAGAGGGATGGCTGAGAACAGGGGACCTCTGCTACATTGACGAGGATGGTTTCATTTTCGTGGTCGATCGATTGAAGGAGCTGATCAAATATAAAGGATATCAGGTGCCAATTAGTGCTAACTTTGAATGTAGTAATTCAGGGTCGGATTCGTTGATTACTGAGTTTTAATTTCGACAAACGGTTGCAGGTTCCTCCTGCTGAGTTGGAGGCTTTGCTGCTGACTCATCCTGAAATTGCTGACGCGGCTGTAATACCGTGAGTAAATTCTTTCTTCCCCCTTCCAAATCGACCCCTTTTGGATATGGCTTGATTGTCTGTTCATACGAAATAAGATTCTGCAATAATACTTCAATTTCGCAGGTTTCCTGACAAGGATGTTGGGCAGTACCCAATGGCATATGTGGTGAGAAAGCCTGGAAGTGCCTTGTCCGAGGAAGCTGTCATGAATTTCATATCTAACCTGGTGCGTAACTTCAACTTTCGTGCTGATATCTTCTTGATTACTGCGTGTATGTAAGGATTTGATACAAATGTTCTTGTCGAATCTCCTCCAACTTCTCGAATTATTGTAAACAGGTTGCGCCATACAAAAGAGTAAGGAGAGTTGCGTTCGTGGCTGCCATACCAAAGAACCCTTCTGGGAAGATTCTGAGGAAGGATCTTATCAAGCTTGCCACCTCCAAACTGTAAATTTTTGGTGAAGAGGAAGTAGTGTCATCGCCATCATTATTACTTGTGTGTACCGAGATTAGGTTTCTGCATCATTATGCTTTGAAGTTGGTGGGTGGCCTGGCCTCCCCTCTTTGTCAAGGAGTGGTATGTGGATATGGAGAAGTGGGATATCGAGGAGATCAATTGTTACGAGTACTGGGTTTGACCCAGCTGCTCGATTGGGACCGCCACTACGCCGACCAACCTTGTTGAGGATTAAGACGAGCGTCAAGGACTATACATTGTAACTCTTCCACATTTAGTTCTGACTATGTAATAAACAGAATCCTGATAAACTTTTCAGTTTATGTCTCGGTTTTTTGCAAGCGCGCAATCAATAAGGCAAGAAATACAAAACCGAAACGTGATTTACTAACGTAATGTGTCAGCTAATCCACGAGTAGAGGAGAAGAAAATTCACTGATTTGAGAAGAGTACATGTTACAAACAGATTTCAGAATTGAGCCAAACAAACTAATTGACCTGACTAACCTAACTACATAATAAAGGAAAAAAAATCCCAGAATACTCTAGTAATTAAAAAAATTTACCAAAATACAGTACTTATAAAAGTATTTCCCAAAGTATAGCAGTTTGTTCATCACTGTCTTTGACGAAGACGGTGATGCCAATCACCGCCTTCAAGCACAACGATGAATGTATCACCGTTTAGAAGAACAACGGTTATGTATTCACCGCTGTTGTTGAAGACAGTTTAAGCATCACCGCGTTCCTTTATAACGGTGATACTATCACCGTCTTTCTCCAAAACGGCGATTACTTCACCGGCGTCGTCCAAAACGATGATATTTACCACGTTTTAGAAGCCTGGTAGGTGGGAAATTAGGTCACAACTACCTAGCTATCACCGTTTTGGTCAAAGGCGGTGATGTGTTCACCGCAATTGTTCACTACGGTGATTAGCCTGTATATTTCCTTATAAAAACCCAGCCCTCACGTCCCTCCAGCTGCCTTACATCAAATTAATACAAAAAATTGTGATTTTTTGATCGTTTTCTCAGCTGGTTTGAAGTTGGTTTACAACAACAAGAAACTCATCGGGATTCGATATGTTATAATTGTGTATTGTTTACATGTTGATGTATTAGTAATTATATGTCTGTATTTAGTGAATTGCGGTTATTGGCAAATATGTTATGTTAGAGATATTTAGATTAATTATGGTATGATTGATGTTAGTTAGTTAGTTATGAATTTAGATGAATTTGTTTAGTTTCTCATGATAGATCAATTAGTTGCGGTTGTTTATGGGTTTGGATGATATTAATTTTGTATCCCTAATGTACTAATTATATACTATACTAATCTTATTCGAGTTAAGCTAATAGTTACTTACTTATTATAAATTGCAGACATGGGTAAATTTAAGAACTTTTGGCTTATTATTCGGTGGAATGGTCGAGTGACAAACTCAGACATTGGGATTAACTATGAAAATGGCGAATCCACTATGCTAAAAATTGAGTCGAGATTCTCGTGGCAAGAACTCCGTGACATTTGTGCAGAAAGGACTTGTATGGGCGGGCAAAGGATAGTTGGTCAAATTACTTACCGGTATCCAAACATGAGTGCTGACGGAATAATGTACGAAAAAGTTGTCATAAATGATGATGACGCGGTTAACATGATGATACAGTTCCTATCTGACAACGGGGTGCGGCGTGCAGAGGTGTATGTCGAGATCGAGCCGGTCGGTGAAACTCATTCTCACCAGTATTCTTGTGATGATGGTTTTGCAGGAGGGTATGGCTGGGGTGGTAGTTCAAGTAACTACGGAGGAGGTACTTCTGCAGGAGGGTATGGTTGGGGTGGTACTTCAAGCAACTACGAAGGAGGTAGTTCTGCAGGAGGTGTTGGGTGGGAAGAATACCCGCAACATGCTGAGGCTGCCGTCGATATCGTTCAACCCGACGGTGATCAATGGCCTGCTTGGGGCCCTTAGAGGGCTGACATTGAGAACACCCTTCGATCTGAGCGTACTTCGCATGACCAAGAAGACGATGTTGGTTATGCTGGTAACGATGATCCTCCTGAGCCGAGCTATCCATTCGCCTCCAGTGACGATGAAAGTGAGGAAGATTTGAGATCAGTCAGCGAGGAGGAAGATACGGACGATATCGATGACAGAGTGGTGGCGTTCCGTGAGGCACCAACGCCTTACTACACAGAGGTTCCATCTCAATTTTTATATGGTCAGAACGATGCCCCTGACTTTCGGCCCATGCCTGTGTATAATCCGACTGCTAATTTGGGAGTGGGTATGGAGTTCATTTCGAAAGTCGATGTTCAAGATGCTTTTCGCGAAGAAGCCATGCGGCGCAACTTCGAATGGAAGGTAAAATATTCTGACACCAAACAACTACATGTCATTTGTAAGAATGCTGGAGAGGATTGTATGTGGCAACTTCGGGCTGCATATATGAAGAGAAAGGGCGTCTGGGTCATGCGGACAGTAGAGAACAACCACAGATGCTCCTCAACCATACTTTCACAGGATCACCGGCAACTTAAAGCAAAAAAGTGGCAATAACCATTAAGCACCTAATCGAGGCACAACCAGATATCAAGATAAAAGCTATCATGGCCGAGGTGAAGGATCGACATTCCCATCATCGTCTGTTCTGGACATTCAAGCCATGCATTGACGGGTTTTCCTTCTGCATGTCAGTGATCCAGGTATCTTACGGAGTCAACGCTGTTGTACTAGTTCATTTTTTTACTAAGTTCAATTTTTACTAACTAATTATTCATTTTAACAGGTTGATGGAACTTTCCTTACTAAGAAGTATAAAAGAACTCTTCTAATTGCCACTGGGGTTGATGGGAATTTAAGTATTTTCCCCCTAGCATTTGCATTAGTTGAAGGGGAGAACAACTTAAGTTTGGCATGGTTCTTTGACCAGCTACACGCCTACGTCACACAAAGAATGGGTATTACAATTATATCGGATCGACATGCCGAGATTAAACACGCCGTCGGTGGTTTTCCAAACGAATGGGGATGGACATGGCGCTGGTGTATTCGTCACTTTCTTGTCAATTTCCAGCACAAATTTGGCAAGAAGAAAGACATAAGAGATCAATTGTGGAGTGCAGGTACTAATGTAATTCACTGCTTGTCCATGGTTTATTGTTCAAATGAAATTTCTTATGCCTTAATTATTGTTTCTTCCGGTCTTGAAGCGGTTGCACATCAACCAAAAAAGTGCGAGCAGAAGATGAAGACGATCCGTCAGATACACTGGGCGGGGGCAATATGGGCAGAAGGTCAAGATCTACACATGTGGACATTCCACATGGACAACGGGGCTAGATTCGGCATTGCAACTACCAACCATGGCGAGAGCATAAATGGAGTATACAAGGGCGTTAGGGCAATGCTTGTATCTGTCTGACTCACTCCTACTGTCACTCTAGAAAATGGCCAAGTGTAACCACTTCCTAAAGCGTAGTATAGCGGGTTTGGGTTTTATTGTCAACCCGGGTCCTAGATTTGATGACTACTCGGTGAATTCTCGTTATCTAGCAGTGAACTTTTAGTGCAGATTCAAGCAAATAAAAACACAAAGCAAGTTAAACGGTTGTTGTCAAGTCAAGAGAGGTCACCCGGATATGGTTCCCCCTAGACTGCAGTTAAGTCGGATTGCAATTTACCAAGTTCATTTTTCATGAAAGTTATACTGCGGAAGGTTCTTAAATAGTCTGAAGTCTCGACTAAAGGTCTTCAGACCCTCTCAATCTGAGTCTCTAGCGGGCGACTAACCTCCACCGGAGTAAACAGATTGAGGCCCTAACGAACCAAACCTCCACTATCGAATTGAATTCGGTACAGAATAGCGAATTGGCTCCTCGGCTAAAGTCACCAATTCGCCACCTTCGATTAAGGATACTCTATCAACCTAGTCAGATATTCTCATTCTAGGTCAAAGCAGAAACAACAGGAATTTGATCAGGATTCAAGTCATTCAATCATTCAAACCTCAATCGAATATAATCAATTCACAAACTCTGTACTTGGGTTCATACAATCAGACCTAGCATACAAATCTAGGGTTCCCCATACCCAGATGAATGGGGGAACTACTCCATAGAGAAGGAAGCAAAAGCAGATTCAGACACGGAAATCATACTGTGAAGATGGATTTCTGCTCCTGGACGTTTAATCGGCACTTCTCCAAGCTCAATCCGGGCTCCAATGGTGATAAAGATCAAGCTATGGCACTTGGGAACTCTGGTTTGTCACTTTCTCTCTCTAGGAATCGCTTTCTCTCTCAAAAACTCGGAACCCTTGAAAGATGGCCTTCCTTTCCCTTAAATCAGCTACCAGATCGCGATACCCGGTCGGGTATTTTGGGTTTCGACCGGGTATAATTGAAGCGCACCGTTTCGGCCTCAAGGAAAATCCCCGGTCTCTTTCAATAATCCCCGACCGGGGATTTAAGCCTCCTGCCCGGGCCCCCTTCTGTTTCTCACGGACGCCCAAAGTGGGAAATACCCGACCATGGCCAGAAAATACCCGGTCGGGTATTCCTGCCTTTGGCCGGGTATTTTGGCTCTCCAGCACACTCCAAGCCTTACTTGCTTCTTTCGGCCCAAATCTCGTTCCTTTGCCTCGATTCCACCGCCAAGTCCTGAAATATGACAAAAACGTACAACCTCGCGTGAAATCGGCTTAAAACATGAGAATTCACATCTCAAACGGCTCCAGAAAAGGGGTGAAAACATGTGTAATTATCGGTCTATCAAACTCCCCCACACTTAACCGTTTGCTTGTCCCTAAGCAAACCAAGTCAGACACCAGGTAAGCTCAAAATGTTTCAATCAAGCAGGCTTTAGGGCAAATCGTATCGGCACAAAACACGTGGATCATACTGGCTTGTGATCATTAACACATGGCAACTCGAACGACAACCTAGACAACCACCACAGATGACATTCGAATGCAATAAAGTCGAGCAAAGGAAGAGTCCCCTTCTGTTCACCAACCAACATAGACTTGACTCAACCACTTGTTCAAAACAGTCACTTCATGCACAAAGCTCAAGATAGCAGAATTAAGACCGAGCAATCTAGGTCCTCACCGGGGTAAAGAGTATAGAGAATATGAGAAAATGAATCGCTCACTCTCGACCAGTGGGGTCAGGACAATTTGATGCGAAAAATGCGAATGCTTATTCTCTCAATCCCTAACGTCTCTTCACCATGAATGCAGCCTCTAAATGCTAGAGTTCACATAGGGGGTGTCACCACTAACCAATCCGGAGATCTTAGACACAGGTTCAAATGACTGGCTAGGGTCTAGGACATGGGGAAAAGGCCTTTTAGGTGGTGGTAGTTATAGCACAAGGTTCCACA